ATCGACTTTGGTATAAATTACAAAAAGTTAGGTAAAACAACCTGTTCAGATTACTGAACGATAGCTTTAATGAACCACACACGTTTTGAAAACATTACACAGTAGAATTGTTAAAACTATTGAATATAAGAAATTTGGCTTTAGAAATGATATGGCCACAAGAGATAATTTGTTCGGCTTGCTAACACAAAGATACATAGACATGTACTTATGTTTTGTAGACTTTGAAAAGGCATTTGATAAGATTCAACATAAATGCTTGTAGATATACTAAAAAGCTAAAATATTGACAGTCGTGATATAAAAATTATATCGAAGGATATTGGATTCAAACTGCCATAAGAGTTAACACCCAGAACACCCGAAATATCAAAATATAGAGAGAAGTCCGCCAGGGTTTCATACTATCCCCACTACTCTTAATTGTCTACAGTGAAGCGGTATTTAGAAAAGCGCTCTTAGATTAAATAGAGAAATATCTATCAGTGGAGAAATTTTGAATGACTTACGTATTGCAGATGATACAGTGATACTGATTTACTTATTTTTATGATTTATGATTTTAATCTTCGAGCCCGCCCCTGCTGGATTATAGAATGAGAAGGCGAGAACTTTTTCAAAAACATATGATTGGGCGGCACTAGAATCCTCGCAAAAGTTCGAAGGTCATCTTTTTATCGAAATCTGGCGATGATGGAGAGGCTTTCGGACTATCCTAACGCACAGAGCCGCAATTAGGGGTATGTGACATACAATAATATATAGAAGAAGAGTTTCAACTAGTATGGGAAAAATAGAACCAATTAAATTATCTTGTGGAGTTTTGGAGATACAATATATCCAAATCTGTTCAATCAATAGTTAGAGGGTATCTTCAAGAACATATACTTTAAGAAAATAAGTACCAAAATAATTATATCATTAACAATATATTGACGATGTAATTTTGATTGGTAATACTAAAGCAGGTCTAAAATTTATGTTTGAAAGGGAATTTTAAAAGAAAGGAACATGTCTAGGTTTTATTTAAGAGTAGATATAGAAAGTAACAATGAAATAAATAGGTAGTTGTTATTGGTATAATTATGGGAACATTACAAGAAGTATTTTATTTTTACTATAGTAGATTTAATAAAATTAACAACGATTGATGTACAACTAAAGATGAGTATGCAAAATCCTAGAAAGATCACTGTCTAATAACATACCAACGCTCAGCTGTATATTATAATTAATGAATGTAAGTTTTTGTCTTTAATTTGGAATGTTTCAAGTCAAAGAGTTTTTATGAATCCTTTTTCCAGACTCATATCATAACATTTAAATTGAGACCGCGAGTTGTCGAGAAAAAGCGCTGTTTATATTATCTAGCTGAAATCCCAATATTCAATTTACAACTTACCAAAATTTTGTCATTGTTATAATTACTGAGATAATTCCTAATAAAATATTTTACCTTATGTCCCCAACAGTGTTTTATTGAATTTTATTTTTAGGTAGACAAGCGTTGTAGGAAAAATTACAACGTAAATGATGTACATATTAATGAAGAATTACGTATATAAATAAAAATTGAATTATCTTATTTTTCTTCATTACAGGAGTTAGTATGTTCCTGTTCCATTTCCCTATGTCTCTATTACTTCTTGGCAAGTACCTGCCTTTTGGATTGTAATAGAATATATTTTTGTAGCCTTTCGTTTTTCATCCTATGAATGTGTTGCCCTTATTTTTCTGTATAATCAACTATGTCTTATCGTTTATAGCATATAAATTTAGGTGATTATGTATGTCTTTTTGCTCTTAGTTTTGCTTTTTATTTCGATTTATTTCGATGTCCAGCACAAGCAACGTATGTTGTTGGAGGTTTTTAATTTTTTAATTTTTATAATTCATTTTTATTTTTATTTAACAGATTTTGTTTAGGTTTAACATTCATAATTATTTCTGAAACAAATCCAAATTATACCATTATCATACTCATGAAAAAATCACACATTTTGAACTTGCTTCCATTTTTAACAGAGCATACCTGAGAGTTGTCACGATGGACAAAGGAATATCCGGGTTCCATGCTGCTAGAATATGGCCCATAGATCCTGATATGGGATCCCCATAGTTCCAGATATGCACGTTGTAATGGACTTAGAAACCGACCTTACCAATGATGACAGCGCCCTTGTTCATTCGAGATGTGACGAAACTCTGCAGAGAACTCCACCAAGAAATACCGAACCCCAACTGAGGACCAATGAAAATAGTAAACCCATTGAAAAGCTAGCTCCTCTTCCTTCCAAATTTATAAAGAAAAGTTCCAAATCACATGCAAAACAACACTCAGAAATGTTCACTTCCACGCCACTAATAACGCAATTAGAAATAAAACAAGAAAAGAGAAAAATTAAGAAAGAAGCTAGAGGCCAAAAAAAATGAAACCAACAAAAAAAACGACAGGAACCGTAGGAAAACTGGCTACTAAAACAAAGAAACGACCTGTACGCAAGAAAGCTATAGTTAGAAACTTACATTTTGATTATTCTGAGTCTGAAAGTTATGATGAGAGTAAGCTTTGTGATGATGATGAATTAGATGATGTAGATCTAACATTAGAAATTAAGGAGTGTTTGGTGTGCGGTGAATTCGGACGAGACAAAGAAATTTGGTACCGTTGTGTAATGTGTTCGAATTGGGCTCATTTAGAATGTAGTGGTTAGGACTCAGCAATTAATTATACATACGATATGTATGCCAAGGTCGAACGAAAGATAGTCAGAAAGTAAAATTATCTCTTTAATGTTTTTTTTTTTATTTTGTTTTTAAGAAATATGTTTTGATTACAATATCTGCTTTATTACAATATATATATTTTTTTTTTTTCGAATAAAGATTTATTTAATTCTGAGCAGAATTACCCCATACTTGGGGGAATACCGCGCAATGACAGTTTTTTAAAGTAGGTAATTTTTTTCTTCAAAATCCGTTAAACTTTGTCCTATTTTTTATGGAAATAACGTTCCCAATAGATACAAGTTTCAGTAGTTAAATTTGGAAGTTTGTTTGCACATACGAAACTTTTTTTAAGTATTTTACCTTAGGTGCGCAGAATTCCCCGGTTTCCCGTAAACCTAACATAATTGAAAAATGAAGTACCCATTACAATTTAACACGTTTATAAGGAAAGAAAATATTAATTCGCATGTATCCATGTGGTCATTTATTCGGGAAAATAATATTATTGCAATATTATTCAGGAAATATTATTGCAATATTCCCCAATTTAAACACAATTATGAGAAATTATTTAACTCTTCCAATAAACAATGCGAGCGATGAAGGATCATTCTCAGTAATGGCCAGCATAAAAAAAATTAAGATCCACATTAGTTCAACAAAAATTAAATAGTTTATCATTACTTTATATAGAATTATTAACTCTTAATTTTAATTGTGACCAACTAATTGACGAGTTTGCCGAATTAAAAGTGAGGAAAAAGGCAATATTACTCATCAATATGGGTATATTTGTCTGTGCAAAATAGATCCGCAATTATAATGTTGCCTAGGGCCCGCTTTAGCCTTAGTCCGACACTGGCTGTCTTACTATTACATTGTATTCCTCACATTCATGTCATCTTCTTTTCTTCTAATGAAATAATCTGTTTGGAAGTGATTTTGTCCACTTTTGTAATTAATAAGCAAAATTCTCTTTTAAAAGGATGTATTAACAATCGCCATATCTAAGGCTGTTTCGACATATCATATCCAGCTTCCTTTTTATAAGTGTTTTTAGTTCCAAAGTTCCACTTCATATACTCTCTTGGACTGGTCCACATTTTCTCACCCAGACCAGTTTAAGTAGCATTCAATACAGACACACTCATAACATTCAATACTTAATCCACAAGGAAATAAATTCCTGTAGCTGGCTGTATACCACGTATCACAAAAAGAGGTTAGTCTTTGTAAATGGGTATATTTATTTAAAAAACCCTTAAAAGGGCTACATCAATAAAACAAACGTTTTCGGACCACACAGTCCATCATCAGGTTTTAAAATCGAAAAATGCTAGGTCACAATGCCTGAGCCACCAAAATACTAGGGTAAAAACCCTTTAAATTACATTTAGTAAAAATTGTACATTGTGTTGTAAAATAACTGTGATGTTCATTATTAAATTAAATTTGACTAGAGGTAACACATGGCTGAATCGAGTTCCAGAGCCAGTGAGAGAGAACCTCTACACGCGGAGAACAGCTGGGAACTGTTCTGACTGTGTGGTCCGAAAACGTTTGTTTTATTGATGTAGCCCTTTTAAGGGTTTTTTAAATAAATATACCCATTTACAAAGACTAACCTCTTTTTTTTTATTCAATACTTATTTTATCAAGTACAAATCTCACTGACATTACGTTATCAATCAGTGTTACAATTTTTATGTTATCTTTCACTCTATCAGCAATTAAATGAACTCCATTCCTGAGGCTACTTTTTTTTACATACCAACTCCATACTCTAATATCTTTAAGACTTCCACCCTAGACCCTATACTGATTTTTCTAATCACTACTGTTGTGCCTGAAATAGTCCTCATCCAGAAATGCAAATGGTGCCTCTGTTTACTTCTGGAACATTTTACCTCAGGATATGCCATCTTTTTCAGTATAGTTTTTGTTACATTGGTGAAAGTCTTTTCATTAATAAAGGCTGAAAAGATTTTCAGTCAGTTGAACTGGTCATGTACTGCATGATTTAGCAAACATGCACCCAATGGAACCAAAGTGCATTATTATCTCACACCCACTTTTTTTTCTGTAAAAGCCATGATCCTTACTGTAAGGACTGCCCTTTAAGCCAATGTATTGTTGCCTGTTTACTGCCACTAGGAGGCACATACATAATATGGGATTCTGTTCCAGAAAGAGAATAAGGAAAAAATAATTGTTTCTATGTCTAAGAATCCACAAATAAAATCACATCAAATAGTTTTTTATTTTTTATTCATACTTTGGGTTTTATTACAAAATTTCTGTGACAAATTCAAAAACAATTACCACAATTACGATGTAATCATACAAAATGCTTTATGTACAACTTAATTCTTGATAAAATAGTAAGTGGATAACAAAACAAGCTGTTAATAAAATGCCCACTCAAATTTTTATACCAAACTTTTACAAAATAAATAATATTAACTCAAACAAAAAACGTCAGCGATATACTCAAATATAGATTATCAATCTTACCTTAGAAATCTCAATATAAATTAATGAATGTAATTATTTAAATGTCAGCAAAAGTTTTTGTACAAAAAGTTCTCTGTATGTGAACAAAATACCCGCTTTCTCAGCAAATAATAAACAGTACTTAATTTACTTATCAGCCTTATCTTGCTTTCTACTGGCAGCTAAATGACTTAATAGCTTGTGCCCAGAGAGGAAAGTAAAACCTCCTATGGGAACTAACCAGGCGCATGTGACGAACATATCTAATTTCAACCAGAATAGAGTGAATAGTGCTAATATAGATCCAAAACCTAAGTGGAAAGGTAAAGCTAGTACTGTAAAGTTTCCTAAATTGATTCCAATTCTACCCCAGCAAATTAGAAGGATCAAAAATGGAGCTGCAGTTAGGGCAGTGAAGAATAGAGATACTGCTTCTGGTGGTCTTTTTTCTGCAGGTCGGAATAAATGCTGGATCTCTGGTTTAGGACCTCTGGCTGCTTTAACATCTTCTTTGGCATTTGGGCCTAAATTAACCTCAATAGTACCCAAACCCCAGCGAATAGGATTGGTGATCAAAGCATCTCCTAAGATGAGTTCCATTTCGAAGTTACCTGACTGAGAAAGTTCCTTTTCTAAGTTAACTTCAACTAAATATAACTTACTGCTGTCTTGTTCAGCTACAAATATTATTTCTTTCTTTCCGGAATACAACCTAAGGAAAGCTTGGTGAACTGTTCTGGATAATGAAAATTTAATCAACAAACTTTGACTGGAATCAGCTTGTAAAGGCTTAGGAAGCTTATTTTTGTATGTCAACTTGGTTAGTTTCACAGCAGCCCCTCCGTCAGAGTCACTGAGACCAATTTCCACAGATTTAACAGTAAGAGAGCCCAAAGCTCTTACTACAAAGTCTGCTGAATGGCTACCTGCATTAATTACTACTTTATATAGACCAGGGTCTAGTTTCAAAGGTAATATGAATTCAGCAGACGGAGCTCCAGCTTTTAAAGTTTGTTTAGATAATACAACACTGTCATCTGCCAATTTTGTGACTTTTTCAGCTACTACAGGAGAAGGAGGTGTTTTGTGAGGTACTCCAAACAGATTGCTAACTTGTACTTTCAAATCTGGTTTATCTGCTGAGACTTGAGGTGTTCCTACAATTGAGATACTGACAGGAGACACACTACTGCTAGATAATGCTAGAGAAGCATCTAAGAAAGATAGTACCCCTTTGGCAGCTTGTACAGTTTTTCTTGTCAACAAATAATTTGCAAATTTATCAGCTTGTACTGCTGTTAAAGGCGAATTACCTGGCAATCTAAATAAACCTGTAAGAAGTAAGGATGTGGTAGTAAGCCCACCTTCCCATTGCAATAACTTTCCATCAACTTCATCAGCTTGCACAACAATATCTTCTACCCTGTCCAATGCAAATTTTCCATTGTCTCCTAAAAGAGAAGCTGCATGGACAGCTTGTCCTAAATTTTGAAGGCTATCATCTTCTTTCAGTTTTGCTTGAATAGCTTGGGATACTTTAGCAGGTCCAGGTATTTGTTGTTTTAGGAGAGTTAGGATTTCTAAAGCATAACGAATATCTGCTAAAGTAGACTTATTATCTTCCAGAGCAGCTTGAATTGTCTAAAACAAATAAAATAAGGTTACGAATAACAAAAAAGTTAAACTACAAATTACATATAGTTAACAACTAGCTATTAGAAGTTATTGCAATTAAAAGAAAAATATGACATTATTGAGGAAAGATCAAAAACTGGAAAACATGCATGGTGGTTATTATAGCTGTTAAAATATTTTCTCTAAGATGCGCCACTATACAGGTGATTTTAAGATTAAATTTGACTTTTATACAGAAACTTGGTGTTTGCATAAAAAAGTTTTATGGTTAGTTGGTTTTGATTTTCTTAATAAGTAATCAAACAACTACTGTTGCAGGTTTTATTTTCAGCATATAGCCATCTAAAAATGTTACTAACTAAAACTTTATGTGGCAGGCTCATATTTACATATTTACTTCAAATTTATAAAATCCACAATCTACTATACATAGTTGAGTTTAATCATCTAAATCACCTATTTAAAAATGCATACATTGGTAAACTATTGCTTTAAATGATTAAAATCAACTAAGTATACAATAACAGGCAACTTGGAAAAGCTTAATGCCCCAGACCTATTTATCTGAGTAGCCTACCTTTATGACTTCTGGTGAATGAAGAGCTCCCTGGCATCCTAATATATTCCACGTACTGTATACGTAAAAGGTACTTTCAATACTTTGATGCTTAAAGTTTTTCTTTAAGTGAGCACAGTTGTCTGCTGTTTGCTTTTTATCGAGAGGAACTGTAAGAATTTGATATCCTCTTGCTCCATAGTATGAAGAAATAATATCATCCCCATCAACTTTCAGAGTTTTTTCCAAAATCTGAATAAATTTGTTCTTATCTGCTTGGCTAATGTAACCTCCTATACTTGCATATGTTGTGGCACAGAATAATGCCAAAATTATTGAAAATACTAAAATAAAAGTTTCTAAATTATATTCGGAATTTCTAAATTAACGTTGAGAATACAAACCTAGGGTATAATAAGTGGAAATCCTCATGTTTAGTTATTATTTTACAACAAATTTCACCGGCTCATAACTTCTTGACACGTACGTCCTGGACACACTTGACATGCCCAATGCAATAGTGACATGTGTAAACGTCAGTCGAACCAGACCAATGACCAGACACGACAGACCATTAAAATTTGTTGATGTCACGCAAAACGCAAACACAGAATCATAAACAATTGTTTATTATTCTGTGGTATCGCATTCTGTAGGGCCGGTAGGGCCACAGAATAATAAACAATTGTTATTTATTCTTTGGTAGGGCCACGTAGGGCTGAGTTACGACACCATCTTTGTTTTCGATGTTAATTGTATCTCTATCTTACATCAAACAGGTATAGCATCGTCTCTTTTTGGTCGAGAGAGAGTGAGTGGAAAGTTTCAACGCGCTAAAGAGAGACATATCAGACATCAAAATTGTTGTGGACACTACTTGTACTTGGTAGCGCAGGCACAAAACGAATATAACCAATGACGTATAATATATAGACTACGCAGTCCCCTATTCTCGCTATAGAATCGAGTGTCCGAAAGATCTCGGCTGAAGGTTGAAGGTATGTTTATTACAACAGCGGCGTGCTCATTTATAAGTTAATGACAATAATTATTTTTTTAATTAAAATTAAATATTTATGATTTCTTTTTGTTCCCGTCTATAAGAGAAATAATTATTTTGATAAAATAGTATGGCATTTTACTAAAATAGTAAGTAAATAACTATCAACAATTTAAAATAAAATTTGCTTGTCACACAAAATGGAGTACGTCCATGATGTTTTCAAACACAAGATCAACTTCGTGATGCTTCGTAAGAAATCATGAACTTCGTGCATCTTCGTATCAAAACAATAAACAATAACAAAGGTATTGTCTATTCGCTTAGCTAGGGCATATTTTGACAGACTCATTGTAGGAAACCTACAACACAACAATTCCTACTTCTCAGTATAAATAGCTCAAGTATACTACTATTGCAGACCTCTTTCTTTGAAAAAAAGAAGAATTATTCTAAATAGTGGAAGTGTATACTAAACCCATCAAATTTTCCCTGTATATTTAAAATATAATATTTGAATTGTTACAATTTAAAATATTGTAGTAAATATTTGTATTATTCGCGTTGTTTATTTAATTTAATATTGTCTTATTATCTTTGTTTAATTCTTTTGTTAGTTCTATTCAGTTAATTAGTTAGTTATGTTTTAAATTTTATTATTATGGATAGTCAAAGATTTCCATTTGTTCCATCAGCTAATGCGTTGGTAAGTTTTTCTTAATAAATATGATAAAATGTTTTTTAAAAAGTTTTTTTTAAAGTTAATATTTTTAGATTAGTAAGGATGCTGTTCCTAGATTACAAGGTAATAAAACTGCACAAAGGTTTATTCAAAATGCCTACCATTTTTTTTACCGAATGAAAACCCTGTTGAGGTAAGTTGATCATTAAAATGTATTTATCGAATTATGTAAATGTTGTAAATACATAAGGAACTTGCTGTGTCTTATTCTTATTTAACCTCACTTTGACTTCTTAATTTTGTAGAATTTATTCCCACTTTTTAATTTTGTACAATAAATAATTTTATTATTTGTTATCAATACATTATACGGTGTAAATAAATAAATATTGATTGTCGGCAAAGTTCTATTTTATTTACTTTTGTTTACATTAATATTGACTAAGAGCACGTATGCTTGGTTGTATAGTATTTTCCAGCCACTTCGAGTCTGTCAAAAAGTTACTAACTTCGAAAAAAAAAATTACTAAAATCACTAGACAGTTCGGACTGGGAATAGCGAACCGGGTATATTCATGTTTTGGACACTTTTTAAAGCGTTCACCGAGTCTATATATTATACGTCATTGAATATAACAAACAACTTTCAATTTTGACATAAAAGTGACAGTGACATTGACATAGCGATAGCGGTTGTCAACAATTTTGCAAGTTGTGTAAACTGTTCTGTTAATTTGAGGCTTAGATAAAATTAACTGAAAATGGCTACAGTTTTGTGTCCAGAAATACCAGCGTCTGGTTTTTCATTCGAAAATTGTAAAAGGTAAATATTTTATTTCTCCTTATAGAATTTTAAAAATCGAAAAATTGCACTGTCACCTAACCTCAAAATACAACTCTTTCAGAAATGCACTTCTTGAAAATAAGGGCCTTGCTCTTCCAAAAGCCACTAAAACAGGTACTACCATCGTAGGAATAATCTATAAAGATGGGGTTATTCTTGGAGCTGATACTAGAGCTACAGAAGACACTACAGTTGCAGACAAGAACTGTGAAAAGATTCACTTCCTTGCACCCAATATGTAGTAAGTATAAGATTATTGGTTGCAATATTGATGCTATTGTTTATATATTTGTAACGCTATAATTGAAGAATGTTGCATAAAACACTTACTTTTTTTAGTTGTTGTGGTGCTGGTACTGCAGCAGATACAGAAATGACCACTCAGATGGTAGCTGCTAAATTAGAACTCCACAGATTATACACAAACCGAGTTACTAGAGTGTGTACAGCAAATCAATTATTAAAACAATATCTATTCCGCTACCAAGGATATATTGGAGCTGCTTTAATTCTTGGGGGTGTTGATATTGAAGGACCACATCTATATATGATTCATCCACATGGATCAAGTGTTGATCTTCCTTATGGTAAATTAAATACTATATTTTCTTTATCAGTCATTTATATATTTAACATGAATTTTTAATAGAATAAGGTGATCTATGGCACATAGCTGTTGCTAAAAGTTATAAAAGATAGAAACCCAGTTTGACTGCAGTATCACATCAAAATAACATGAACAGATTATGTAAAATAAACTAGAAATAAAAAATTTAAGATAGATTTAATGGAGTGTGGCAAAGTAAGATTTTAGATGCCTCATGTTGGTCATAACAGAGTAATAAAGAATTCAGAAATGACTTTCATAGTGATACTACTCATACTTATGTTTTTGAATAATTGTTTCAATCATCTCCTTTTTTAGGCACAATGGGTTCTGGTTCTTTAGCAGCCATATCTGTCTTTGAATCCCGCTGGAAGCCCCAAATGGAAGAGGAAGAAGGGGTCCAACTAGTAAGAGATGCTATTGCAGCTGGTATATTCAATGATCTAGGTTCAGGCTCCAATGTAGATATCTGTGTAATAAGAAAAGGTTCAGTAGACTACAAACGAACCTATGATGAGGCCAACAAAAAGGGAGTTAAACAGGGATCTTATAGATATCAAAGAGGAACAACTGCAGTGCTTAGTACACAGGTGGTGGATGTTGAAGAAGTCTCAGTGATTCCTATCGAGGCTGAGCAAATGGATGTTGCTTAAATATTACAGTTAAATAAATGTCATTGTATTCTTTTTGGTATTTACTTTAATATAAAAATAAATATAACAGGTTTAAATATTTGATAATATAGTAAATTTTAATTTTATTTTAACTTCCTTTATTTATTGCAATCTGTTATCAATATAGCAGTAAACAATATGTATTAAAGAGAGAGAAAATCAGGAGCCTGGAAGAGTAAGGGCGAACCGCAAAAACCAGGTTTCGGGAAAAATGAGTTAAAGTTTACGAACGTATTAAAATAGTAAGGGCGAATAAGTGGAGCTACGATAGTAATGTGGTCTACTGTCGCGTTTCTACTATATTATGCGGTGTATCTTTACAGTGAAAAAACGCGTAACACGTAAAAATTAAGAATTATTATTTTAATTTTATTCTCAACCAAAATAGTAAATTGATATGACAAAGCATTGACCTGTAAAACTGAAATAATAATTCGTTTTACCTATGATTTTATTTACCTGTTAAGATGGTATTTGAGAGTGTAAACACGTTCTACCTATTGATATGTCGGCCTATCACCATAATCTTTTCTGAGAAGGGTTTGAACACAATAATGAAAGGCATCCTTTGTAGGCAAAATATTTATTGCTAAGTACTAATAAACATTTTATAATCTTTATGATTATGCAAATTACACCGTAATCCCTTCCCAGGGTTTTCAAAATCCAAATCCTTCAGGTAGATTAAACCATTGAGGTTGAATGCATACTCTAGTAGAACCAAACAAGTTTTATTTTATTAATAGAAAATAAAAGAGGATTTTGCAAGATTTGCAAGGATTTTAAAAAATAAAATGAAAAGAGGTTTAATATTTTTTATTCTACAAATATAAACATACCTAGTTTTTTAACAGGTTTCTGTGACAGCTAGTGGTAGTGGAATAAGTTGCAAAATTCAAAAATACAGCTTCAATTAAACTCAATTTGATTTTCATCGTCTACAGTTTCTTCGACTTCAGTTATATCAATTCCTCCACTAATAGCTTCTTGTAAAGTATGTTTGTGAGGCATGGGTACATAATCAAGAAGATCTTGTAAGTCTTTTTTCTTTTCTTCTGTAAGCTTGATGGCACCCTGGTATTTGAGAGGAAGTTCTATACTGTCTAAGTTAAAATTTATTACATCGTGAAGTCTCTTTCGTCCCTTTTGGAGTATGACATTTGTAGAAATATCCGTGTTGTATGCTATTTGAATTTTAAAACCCATCTTAAAATCTTTTGAAAATTCGAATATTCTACCATCCTTGAAGTTAGCTCCCAATATTTGAGATTTAGTTGCTGCTTTTTGAAGGACGCTGAAATCCTTAACCATTTCCCTCGTGACATTAACAACTTGGAATTTGTTCTTTTTTTTCGTGTGTTTAATGAAATGGATATAGTGTTCTTTTGAAAATACTTCACAGTCCTTGATCTTTAATTTAATTGAACCGAAATCTCGATCACAACCCATCATCGAATGCCCAGACATTAAAAAAACGTGCTTAATAAGATCAAAGCGGTTTGCATGAATGTGGCGGAGGTTAGACAAAACAACGTTTATGTTCTTATTTTGCCCGGCACAGTTATCACTAAAAATTATAACTTGTCGCACTTGCTTGTTAACAAAGTTCTCCAAGTAGTGACTAAGAAAACTGGCTATTTCACACGATCCGCGTTTAGCGATGGTTTCATCCCATACATACATTACAGCTGTTCCAGTTTTAACGTTATGGATTCCTAAATTATAAGTCCACATTTTTCTTTTGTAATATTGTACGTTGCAGGTAAGTTTAGGTGTGGGTAATGCTTGTTGTAAATCAACACATATAACTTCAATATTTGTATCCTGGTTGCTTTCGTAGCTTTTCATCATAAACTGAGCAGCTTTCTGCTTTGCTAAATGAACCTTCAGTTTTGTATCCAATTCAGTTATTTGGGGAGAATTCGGGTTACTAGTCTTTAACCCATTAATTTCAATTTTAGTCTTAGAACAGGTATTACATTCATCAACTGAAGGAGGCTGAACACCTATATTAAATTCATTGACAAAAATATTTCGGTAGTAGGACTCTATCACAGGCTGTTCTTCAGGATATATGTTTCTTAGCCATTCCATATAAGCTCCATATGCCCCAGTAATTGATGAACCCGGTGGCATATATTTTCGAAATGGACTTTTGGCTCTGTTATAGTGACTGGAAACAGTAACAAGAGAATCAATGTGATCTCTGATCAACTGCTTTCTATATCCAACCATTTTATTTCCTGGGCATAGCTTCCCCCTGTTGTCACTCAGCACAGTTCCTGTGGTGGTCTGCTTGTCTAAAACAACGCGAACTCTTTTTTCACTTATGCCATGGATGCTAATAAAAGCCTGACGACAAACACATTTTTTTTCTCCATTTATTGAAACACTATAGTCTATGGTCCGAAGCTTTCTACTAGCTCTGTCAGTAATTAAAGACTTTTTACAATCACTGAAACTTAACACTTTTGAAAGGTATTGGTTTTGATTATCATAGTTGCCCAGTTGCCAAAAATTATTGAAAATCATATTGATATTGTTCATGCCCAACTTTTCAAAACACGTTTTACGACACTTACATGGTGATCCGATTGTGCGCGCAGATACAGGTCTGTTTGTATTTCTCGAAATGTACGCTTCACCACAGTTTCGTTTGGTTTTACACACGTTAACAACCCACTGTTCCGTGTTCTTTTGCTTCCGCCTTGTCGTGTTCTCGGCGTTCATTTTGAAAATAAATCGGAAAAAACAGTACAACTTTAACGCTAATGTAACCTCGGTTTTTCCTTAAAATACGAATAATAAAAACTACAACCATACGATCGTACAGAAAAACTTAAGAAAAGCGCATGCATCTGCATACAACGCAAGAATGTCTCACAAACTAAAGCTACAAAAATACCAACAGGGTTATAGAGGAGTAGGGGCGAACCTTAAACGGAAACGCAACGATAGCTTGTGGGTTCGCCTTTCCTCTTCTAGACGATTATGCAGTTCAGTTTCTGACATGAATTGGTTGCTTTCTTATTTCTTACAGAATTTTCGGAGTATGAAGGGCGAAACATGGTGTTATAAAGATACAGATGTATTATTTAATAGTATGTGAGCAAAATGAGACTATTTTTAAAATGACCATTTTTCGAATTCGCCCTTACTCCTCCAAGCTCCTGAAATGACACAGTTGGAGCTACACAAAATGGTGAGCACCTTTTACCTATATTTAGCTTATATTACCAAATTTCTGATTTTTATACAAATGAGTAACTTCTATCTTGTTCGTAGTGGTGGTGAGATCTAGAGGATCCAACTTTTTAGTCTTCTAAGCAGTGGTGAGGTCATGAGGTTGTTCATGAGTGGATTTCGATCAGATGATAGTCTCTTAAAGTACACTAAGTGATGGTTGATTCTTTCAGTTCAAGTTGAACAGTTATGATGAATAACCTTGATTTACACATACCAGGGGGCATTATAGACATCATGAAGGACTTTGTATTGTCTTATAGAGAAGTTTGTTTTGGATAGTTAAATCTGATTTGATTCATAAACCAGTACATTTTCTTGTAAAGCATTCCCAGGGCCCTGATTCTAATTGAGATTTTTCTCAATCTCAATTTTTTTCTCAAGAAAGGATGTCAATAACTTTCGACTTATCGAAATTAATTTCAACTTCAAGAAAGTGGTTGACATTTCATTTCGAGTCAAATTAATGTGCCACAACTGGCTGGACTGGGAGAAGTGAGATTAGGTTTAGTTTAGGCGGTGTTGTTTTGTTTGATTCTTGCAAGGAAAACTGAGGCAAATATTTATTAATACGGCTGCGTTTTATGAGAAATTCTATGTGATTCGGCACATAATTGGTCGAAATTTTGACACATAAAAATAGAACTGCAGTACCTGGGGGCCCCAAGAGATGCTACTGATTTTTTTTAAATACTGTGGTGCAAAAATTAAAGAAATAAAATGTTCCAATATTACAACTAAATTGGAAACCACAATTTTTGAAGATATTCAACTTTAGGATGGAAGATAGAAATAATAAATAATTTGGTTGTAATAATTTATTTGTTCTTTTTACAAATTATGTGTTTGAATGGCATACTCTTGAAATTCTATTCTTTTATTTGGAGATATAAAATAATCTTTAAACTCATCATGAATTTTTAGAGTGGTTATGTATTGTTTTTAGTAATACATCTCCACCTACTTTCAGTAGTTCCAATGCTATTTGATCCAATCCCTGTGATTTATTGTTTATCAATTTGGCTAATGCTGTTCTAATCTTGGTTATTGTTGGTGCCTGGTGGGCACTTTTCTCTGATGTCTGCTTGGTCTAATCATATATCAAAGTTCTCCTCCAGCCGCCATTATGACATAAGTTTTACGTCTTTGCGCACAAATTGGCGCATTTCTTATACAAGAAACTTTAGAAACTACACAAATTCTTGTATCGTTTCTGATATAAGAACTATACGCTTGTATGACACTATCCATTTTTTTTTTTGTTATATAAGAAACGATATAAGAAATGATACAAGAACATCCATAGTGTCATACGGCCTTAAGAAGAATGTTACTGGATACTCAAAATCCTTTTTCGCTAAGTGATGCTCAATTTAGGCAGCAATTCCGCCTCAATAAACAAGCTGCAAATTATTTGATAAGGATATTAGAACCATATTTGGAGAAGGGTGTTTATGCCTCTAGGAGACCCAAAATGTTTAGGATAAGTATTACTAAGCTAAGTAGAATATAACCACTAATTCAAAAGCCACCATAATTTCTTTTTGATCCACAGACAATTTAGTGCCACCATCACTGACAGCCTCTCCATCCATTTTCTTTCAATTCAAGATATAATAATTGAGAATAGCCACTAAAAATTTAACAACTCAAACAAGAAACAAAAGTCATAACGTAAACAAAACAAACATAAAAGTTAACAAGCGTTGTGCAGCGTGCAGCCAGTAAACAAGACGGCTAACGCAAAATCTGAGCAGTGTAAAAATGATAAAGAAAATATCCCCACTTT